ATTAGAAAAGAGATGCTTCCACATTCTCCCATACCTAACATTTTGCAACTAACATGCATGGTCTGATATTTACCTCCTACAGGCTCTACTCCCCAGTTACCATGTCATCCACACTACCAATGTCATATGAGTGGGCAATTGCTTTGCTGAGAACCTCACAGGCATCCATTCTGAACTTCAGTGCAGGAATTCCCCCAAACCAGTGCTCAGGCTTTACAAACACATCACTGATGAAAACACCTTAACCACTAACCCAGTTACCACTGAGTGGGTTCTGACCCATGGCAATACTAAGGGTATCACAGTAAAACTATACTCCATAGGGTGTCCGATAGCTGGTCTTTCAGAAGCAGACTGCCAGGCCTGTATTCCAAGGTACCTCTAGGTGGACTCAAGCCTACAACCTACCTTTCAGTGAGCACATTTGCATCTCACAGGGTTTCAGGAGGTCCCTTAGCACATTTCATTTATTCTCACTAAATCGGTGATCCTGCTTCTTTACACAGAACTCTTTAAAGCACATACTTCCTACTTTGAGAGGAGACAGACATGTCTGCAGATTCAGCCTGGTATACTGTGGTGGTCCTAAAACCACTCCAGCAAAGGTAAGGAAAATGAGACAGCAAGTCATTGATGTAGGGAAAGAACAGTTCTGGCAGGTTGTGAGGAAGCACGCCAGGGAGAGCACCGAGGCCACCAGAGCCTAGATGTAAGCAGTTCTGGTAGACTTGAAATTATAATCCTACCATCAAGTGCTCTAAAATATGACAGAAAAGATGGATGTGAAGGACCCATCAGGGACACCTCTGCTAGTCAACCTACCTCAGAATACAAGAGACTACCAGCCAAATGCTCAGCTTTGTAAAAATATCTTAAATACCTTATGTGAACATTCACTAAAATGCGTGTGATGTTTTAAAGGCAAGTACAAACTCTTGAGGACTAAGTAAACATGGCAAGCCTTCCCAAAGCCCTAAATGATCTAAGATGACAATAAAATAGACTTCAGATACACCCCTTCTTCAACAATCAAGATGCCATCCACTGGTAATAAACATTTCTCTCTAAAATTGAATGACTCTTTCTCTTTTTAGTGTGCCTGGGTGCAGAAAAAGGTTAGGAGCTCGACTATTAAAGGTTGGTGGTTTGGACCCACCCAGAGGTGCCTCAGAAGAAAGGCCAGGTGATCGGATCCTGAAAGGTCATAGGCTTGAATATGCAATGGAGTCCAATTCTACTCTACAATACATGGGGTTTGCCATTAGTTGGCATGGACTCATAGCAACTCTTTGGGTCTTTGTTTGTTTGTTCTTAAGTTTCAACAATCAACAGTATACTAAACTCAAAAAAAAAAAGAAAAAAAACCTCACTACTGATGAGTCGATTCCAACTTATAGTGACCCTTCCCTCGAGTTTCCGAGGTGGTATCTCTATGGAAGTAGATTGCCCAGTCTGCCTTCTGGGAAGTGGCTGGTGGGCTTGAATCACCAGCCTTCTGGTTAGCAGTCAAATGCCTTAGGCACCATGCCACCAGACCTCCTGGTGTAGTGTACTAAGCCAAATGATATTAAACACTGTATAAACATGTTCAAAAAGACAAACGTTTATGTTAATGGAGAAAGAACAACTTACAGGAAAGGAGTGTGAGAATGGTTGCACAATTCCAAGAATGTAATTAATATCACTAAATGATACATGTGGAAACTGTTGGATTGGTTGGTATATGTTTTTGCTATGCATATTCAACAACAACCAAAAGACAAGTATCTACTGACGCTCCTGACATAATCAACATTTAGCCGCCTCAACCAAACTCTAGGCTAGAAGGTATTTGAGATCATTATGGTTATGACCTTTAAACTTCTCTATACTATAGACACAATGTCTCCGTCCCCCTTTCTGGCCTACTTAGCCCTCCATATTCACACTGATGACTCCAAAGAAGTTATATTAGAAACTAGCATCCCCAAGACACCATGGCCAACACCAGAGTATCTGGCCCACTGATAAAAATAATTCTAATAATAATAATTTCCTGGCCATCAGATATGGGTTAGAGGCTCCCGTAGCCAGCTCTGGCAACAGGGCTCTTATAACCTGTGCTGAAATCCAGGAGGGAAGATCAGCTAGCTGTACATACTCACTCAAAATCAGACAATTTCAAGTAAATCTTCCATGGATCAATCCCAATTAATGAACAGGTTAGCAGTTAGCACTACAAATGTTTGCATCAGACAGTTTGTGTGCAAGAATTGATTAGAAGCTGCACTTTCTTCTAAGTAGTTAACTATTCCTCCTGATCTACTCTTGGCTATTAAACTTCCTCATTAAGCCTGTGTTTATGGATAACACCAAGGGCCGCTTCTGCTCGGTCTCTGTTCAAATGATCAAAGCCTCAAAGTTGGTGGAGCATAGATTAATGATAACGGTATTTTATCAAGAATTTTGTCTATCAACCTATGCTCAGTGAAATAGGGATGGCACCCATCCATAGACAAAAGAGCATATGCATCCAAGTGAGAATGATTGTATTTATCATAGTGAAAATAGGGCCATAAAAACATTCAAGTATACAACTTCTGATAAGATGGAGGAATAGGCAGACAAGCTATACAGACCCTCCGCAACAAAGAAAAACCAATTAGAAGATAATCCAGGAGCCCTGAGCTCTGAAAGGAAGTATACAGAAGTTGATTAGGCTCCAACTAGGGGAAAAACCTGAGCAAAAACAGTGAGTATGCAGATGGAGCAGTTGACCATCAGCTACTCTGATGGGACCAAGAGCCTGAATATTTGCAAGTGGTGTTGGGACCTGGGAATTGACCTACAGATCAGCCCTGGTCACCAAGGGCTGCAGGGATGACTGTGCTGGTGGCCTACAACTAGGAAGGGAAACAGCAAGGAGGGAGACAACCTGAGCTGTGGACTTTCTGCTGTTCAGAGGACACAGCCATTTTGATTGTTTACAAGCAGCGGCCATTTTGGATATCTAAAGTGACTGAGGGCACAGCCATTTTTAACCTTTACAAGTAGCTGCCATTTTGGATTTTAAAGTGACAGCATTCTCATTCGGATTCTAGGGGCCTAAGAATAGGCTCTGTTTGTCAAGGACGGCAGGCACATATGGGAGGCTTACAATGGGAAAGTAGACAGGTGGTGAGTGTAGAAGTGCTGCCAACTAGCGAACAGAGGAGCACAGTACAGTACCCTGCTTATGTAGATAACACACAAACAAAACAAAGAAAATGAAAATTGTGGGCAAGTCACTCCAACATACAATCACCAATTAAATATAAACACAAAAAATGTCACAATGCCTCAGGGACAACAGAGCATCACAGTGCACACAAAGAAGCAAAATAAACCAGGAGAAACAAGGGACCAGGATACAGACCCAAAACATCCCTGAGGAAGAAGGAGCATTGGAGCTCCCTGATGAGGAATTCAAAAGAATTGTATTTAGGTACCTTCACTGGATTGAGAGACAGATCAAGGAAAACACTGACAAAATGGAGGAAAACACAGAGAAAACCCTAGAACAATTCTGAAAGACAATACAAGAACAAAATGACAAAATAGATCAAAATTAGAAATTATACAAAATCTACACATTGAAACCCAGAAGATTAATACTAAATTCTCAGAAATAGGTAAGACATTGAATGCGCAAAGGAGTAGAACTGAATCAATGGAATACAGAATTAGTGATATTGAAGACAAATAATTCAATACTTTTTGGAAAGGGATCAGTCAGA